AGAAAACCCAAAAATCCCTGACAATGAAGTTGATCTATTAAGTGCATTGGGGGAGAACTGATTTTTATCTATTATATTGTTTTTTAGAAGCTGTATTAAAGACAGGAAAAACTTCAACAACCATGCTACTCCAAAGTGCTCTGGAGCCCCTCTAAAGAGATGAGATGCCAGCATCCCCTTTCTGCAGTCTTCCTGGGGCACTAAAGAAGAGCAGATCCCCTCAACTACCCACCTGCCAGCCGCTAACCAGTCTATAGACAGCGCTGAAATAGATAATCTTCCTTGCTAGCCAGGAGGCTTGCTGGAAGGTGAAAGTAAAACCTAAAGAGCACTTCAAAGTTGAGTCTGACTTCAAAAAGCCCTGCTGGGGGACATGCACCTGCAGCTTTTCATGTTTTTATGCAGTGTTTGTTTATCATTAAACCATTCGCTCAGCCAGCTCTGCACAATAAGCCCTTTAATGGATCATAGGCTGAAAGAGTTCAGCCTGCAGACATAAAAAGTAAAAATGTAATCTGTCTTTCTAAAAGAAAGCTTTGATATACCTTAAACCACTACAGTTTTACAGGTTGTTACATATTCAACCTTTCTTCCTTCCTGTGGGCTTTTCAAGACTTAATAAATCTGTGAGCTCCTATTGACCAAGCACAGCAGGTGCATGTACTAGAACATCTCATTGGAGTCTAGGATGAGGAAACCAGTTCTGAAAATCTACTGTTGGAGCCCAATGTGTAGAGTCACACAGGAAATTCTTCTTCTCACACGTGTAAGTGTAAGAAGCTCTAACTGTAGAAATGTTTGCAAAACTTTCAACCAGCCTGATCCTCAGTGAATCGGTGAAACTTCTGATTTATACATTACGGACTTGACTCAATCTCATTAGAGTCCAAAAAAAATAGATTGAAATATGTAAAAAGCTTTCTTGGCTATCTGTCCATACTTGTTATATAGCCTCCATTACCATAGTATTGGAGTGCTTCATAATTTTTATCATATTTATATTCACACTACCCTAGGGGTGGAGAAACGCTGGTTTCTTCTTTTTATAGGCTGGAAACTGCAGCATTGAGAGACAAGAGTCTGATCCATTAAAGAATACCGAACCTATAAGGACTAGGCTCCAAAACTGAGACACTCAAACTTACACCTCTAACTGTTCCTGAAAACCCACTGAGTCCTTACCCAAAAGTTTATTTCCAATATTTGGTGCCATCATAGAATCATAAAACGGTTTGGGTTGGAAGAGACCTTCAAAGATCATGTAGTCCAACCCTCCTGCAGTGAGCTGGGACATATTCGAAGAGACCAGCTTGCCCAGAGCCACATCCAGCCTGGCCTCTAATGTCTCCAGTGGCATTCACCACATCTCTGGGCAACCTGTGCCAGGATTTTAACACCCTCATCGTAAAAAGTCTTCCTCATGTCTAGCCTGAATCTCCCTTCTTAGTTTAAAACCATCACCCCTCCTCTTGTCATCGCACCTTCTGCGTACCAGAGTGCTGTAAAAATCACCCATCAGAAGGTCAATGCTGAGGATAAAAATCAGATGCTCTGAAATTATGAAAGCAGCTCAAGTCAGAGGATCCTGTTTAGGGCAATGGGGTACATCCACATTATTTATCTTAACAAATAGGTGTTTCTGGACCATGTAGAAATCTCCTGACTTTCTCCCTTGGCATCAGCAGCACCCAAGGCCAGCATGAGTCTACTGGAATATTTTAAACTTATCTTACCTTCTCAGACACTTAGTGGACAAAAGTAACAGAAAGTTATAGATGAAAGGAATATTATGTGGTTGTGTGACTGTCACATAATGGAACACTCTCTCTGAGTAATTGCATAAAAAGCAATTTTGTGGGTTTTATTGAATAACTCAAGATAATTTAAACCTTCATAAAAAGATAGTGAAAATAAAAAAATAACTCTTTTACAGGAAGACACGTCCTCACACAAGGTGTGCTAGAGGCACAACATCTATGAATGTGTTTTCATTTTAACTTTTTCAGAAAACATTGAAACATTTTAAAAGGAGAAGCTTTTGTTCAGACAACCCAATTATTTATATCATAGCACACATGTTTTGAATGCTGTGTGCATATGATGTGTAGCCGCATCTGGTATGCAATTGCCATACATAGCACAACGGAAAGGAAAAGCCCTGTTCCAAAAAATATTCCCAGCCACATATGAAAAGGGAATAGAAAAAGCTTCTTTGTGCATGAAGTCTCTCTCCTTGCTACTGTATTTACCATTACATCAGCTACCTCCAACTCATACACTTACCAATTGAAATCAGACAAGTTGTTGCTCCAGATACTCCTGACAGAGAACTGTTGCAGAGCCACACCATGATGTCATCACTGTCCCCTAAAGAGCCAAATTCTTTCTTTGGAAGAGGAGCAATAGAATCAAGAGATTCAGCCACTTATCCCCATCTACCTAGCATCTCATTGGCTGATCTGAAGAGTCCATCTTGTATCTCCTGTATCCCAGCCCTCTGCTTAGCCAAGTAATAACAGAAGTTATTGAAAATGCCACTGAAGATGAAAGCACTGAAAACAGCCTGAGACAGAAGTGTCCAAATTGGTTTGGGCTATTCGGTTCTCTGATTTAGTTTAGTTCCTTTAGTTTTCCCTTTTTAGTTTCTTTAGTTTTCCCTTTTAAAGGAAAGATCAACATAATTTCTTTCTTAAGGTGAGGATTTTGTGAGCAGTGCTATTGTTAATCTTGCTAGGGAAAAACACCCCAAGCAAACAATGACAAGCATAATTCAATTCAGTTCTCGCAAAACCCATATACATGGCAGTGAGCCAGTTTCTGATCTCATATACGCTGGGGCAAAGCCATAGCAACAGCACTGCTGAAGCACAAGAGCAGATCCTGCTGTGTAGAAGCTGAGCAGCCAGTGCAGCCTCCCTAGACGGTGGTTTGCAGCTCCATGCAAATAAACTTTCTCAGCAAATGAAAATGATCTAGATTACTACTTGAGTCTAGCAGCAATGTATTTATGCATCACTGAGAGATCTTCTTGTCTCATTTAGGAATTTTGCTGTTAAGATTTTCAAGCAAATTCTAGAAAACGCAGTCATTGGTTTGATTTAGACTTTGATACTGTACTAGAAGGTTTCTTCGGAAAGCATGCCATGAGACACCAGGGTACTTACACACTTGCTTCAGACAGATGTCAGCAAGACTTCCAGGTGCTGGGATGCAGAACAATGTCAGGGTCAGGCTCACAGTCCCTATGCTCCTTAGCACAGCAGCTTGGCTAAAGGCTCTGTGCTGAGCTATCAAGATGCTCCGAAGACTGAGTATACTGTCTTGGACAATGACTGGTGTGAGCTGCAGTCCTGAAGAGCCCTGTATCCCTAAGACCTCAGATGAAGTCAGGTCGACGGAGCAGTTTGCCTTAGTCGATGAGGAATGGGTTAGAGATCAGTTGAGCAATCTGGACATCCATAAATCCATGGGTCCAGATGGGATGCACCCTAGGGTGCCGAGGGAACTGGCGGAAGTCATTGCTAGACCGCTCTCCATCATCTTTACCAAGTCTTGGGAAACGGGAGAGGTGCCTGAGGACTGGAGGAAAGCAAATGTCACTCCGGTCTTCAAAAAGGGCAAGAAGGAGGACCCGGGTAACTATAGACCGGTCAGCCTCACCTCCATCCCTGGGAAAGTGATGGAACACCTTGTCGTCCTTGGTGCCATCTTAAGGCATATCAAGGATAAGAGGGTTATGAGGGGCAGTCAACATGGCTTCACCAAGGGGAAATCATGCTTGACCAATCTTTTAGCCTTTTATGAGGAAATAACACGGTGGATGGATGATGGCAGAGTGGTGGATGTGGTCTACCTTGACTTCAGCAAAGCATTTGACACAGTCTCCCACAGCATCCTCACAGCTAAATTGAGGAAGTGTGGTCTGGATGATCAGGTAGTGAGGTGGACTGTGAACTGGCTGAAGGAGAGAAGCCAGAGAGTTGTAGTCTATGGGGCGGAGTCTAGTTGGAGGCCTGTAACTAGTGGAGTGCCTCAAGGGTCAGTACTGGGACCGGTATTATTTAATATATTCATCAACGATTTAGATGAGGGAATTGAGTATACTATCAGCAAGTTTGCTGATGACACTAAGCTGGGAGGAGTGGCTGACACGCCAGAAGGCTGTGCTGCCATCCAGCGAGACCTGGACAGGCTGGAGAGTTGGGCAGGGAATAATGATGAAATATAACAAGGGAAAGTGTAGAGTCCTGCATCTGGGCAGGAACAACCCCAGGTTCCAGTATAGGTTGGGAAATGACCTGTTAGAGAGCAGTGTAGGGGAGAGGGACCTGGGGGTCCTAGTGGATGACAGGATGACCATGAGCCAACACTGTGCCCTTGTGGCCAAGAAGGCCAATGGCATCCTGGGGTGTATTAGAAGGGGGGTGGTTAGTAGGTCGAGAGAGGTCCTCCTTCCCCTCTACTCTGCCCTGGTGAGACCCCATCTGGAATATTGTGTCCAGTTCTGGGCCCCTCAGTTCAAGAAGGACAGGGACCTGCTGGAGAGAGTCCAGCGCAGGGCAACTAAGATGGTTAAGGGAGTGGAGCATCTCCCTTATGAGGAAAGACTGAGGGAGCTGGGTCTCTAGAGAAGAGGAGACTGAGGGGTGACCTTATTAGTGTATATAAATATATAAAGGGGGAGTGCCACGAGGACAGAGCCAGGCTCTACTCAGTGGCAAACCATGATAGGACAAGGGGTAATGGGTACAAACTGGAACACAAGAGGTTCCACTTAAACTTGAGAAGAAACTTCTTCTCAGTGAGGGTGACGGAACACTGGAACAGGCTGCCCAGGGAGGTTGTGGAGTCTCCTTCCCTGGAGACATTCAAAACCCGCCTGGACACATTCCTGTGTAACACTATCTAGGTGTTCCTGCTCCGGCAGGGGGATTGGACTAGATGATCTTTCGAGGTCCCTTCCAATCTCTAGCATACTGTGATACTGTGATACTGTGAGCTGGGAGATGTTCTGGGAAGTGCAGGAGTGCTCAGTGCTGAGTCAGACAGAGGGTGAATGACTCACCCAGGACCATCAATGAAAGACAATATTTCTTCTCTCCAGGCTGCCCTTGTGAGCGTTTTTGAGAGCAGGGACCCTTTGCATCTTTCTAGACAGCAGCTGAACAGTTTTTAACAGCATAGAGTTTCAAAAGGCTGCTCTTTCTCAATGTTTCTCTTGTAGCAGATGCTTTGTTCTGTGCCTGGAGCACAAGACACCATGTGTGACTGCAGCAGCAGCAAGTGCAGCAGGAACCACAGAAAAGGCTGGATGTAAAAAAGTGTGGTGTTTAGGAAGGTAGGCTGGCTGCTGGAACAGCTAACAGGATAGACTGTCTCCCACTTTAGCACAGCAAATGACTGCACACTTGCTGCCCTCCATGACTCTCCAAACCAAAGTGACTTGGTGTTGGCTCTAGGTCTGGGTGGGAAGAGTGAGCAGGTCATTAAGTACAAGCAACCATTAAGTGAATATGTCTAATAGAATAAGTTATTTTTCACACTTCACTCTTTCAAGAAATCAAGCTTGTGTATCATTGCAACAGAAGAAACCACAAACATGCTCAAGAGACACAGGTACTGTCATTAACTTTCCATTCCCTACCCCCTCGCTGAGCCTCTCAGTAGTCACTAAATGATGGGCTTACCTTCCAGGCTCTTTGCTCCTAAGACCTTGCACATACTTCCCTGTGTTTTAAAATATGCAGCTCACATGCATCTCAGTCCATCCTCTCAATTCAAATCATCTTCCAGGCTTGCAAAGGCGGTAACTTCTTTTCAAATAGCCTCATTACACTGACATGTAGCATTTGTTCATGTGTGTTTCCATCTACCCAAAGAAAGCATGCCATCTGTAAATTCAGTAAGAACAGGAGAGCTACATAAGAAACAGAAAAACAAGGAACTGAAGAGGGCATTTGAGTCACAAACAGGCCTGTAAAGCACAGCTTCAGCCCTAAGCTTACCAAAACACCTGAAACACCTCATACACCCCCCCTAAGGTACCTATCTGACATCATTTCATGACCCATTTCAATTGACAGGTCTGCAGAAAAGTCTTTTATTCTCAACTGTCAGGTTTAAGTCAGACTGAGTAGTAGGCAGCTGCAAGAAAGTTGACTCTCATTCAGGACCTAATGACATTTAGGTTAGAGGCACCAAATGTCATTATTTGAGACAATCCTAAGAACTGAAACATGTCCTACCTTTCTGATAATACTTGGATGTTATTTTGCACCAGATTTTAGAGGTGGCGCAAAGAACAAGAAATTTGCTTGCATAAATTTAATCCAGAACAGAAGAAAGGGTGTCTCCATGCAGGCTGTGGCCCTAACATGTACCTGTGCTTTGTAACACCAGAGACCTCTAATCTTTCCATGAAAACCCATAAGGGAGCATTCAGAGAATGTCATCTTGGTCCCTATGCTGACAGCGAGCATATACTCAAGCCTGGGCAGTCAGGGGAGAGAGAAGAGGACATCTCATGCTCCTTGGAACCTCTTTTCTTTAGTCTTCTCTCCTTAATTTTGATAGATTTGCAAGTGTGCATTTGCTGTGGGTCACACCTACCCACTAACACGTCTTTGGCATCCAAAGAGACATTAGCAAGTTTGCATGGATTACAGCATTTTTCTTAGAGAAGGCACAAATAGTTGACATTATAATGGTATCCTTAACATTCATAAAAATTGTTCATTCTAAGAATAGTAACAAGAAACAGAAATTTGGAGTGGGAGCTTATAAAATTTTATCAGTTTTGTCATCTCTTTGGAGAAAAAACTGCCAACTGGCCTCAATGCGTCATCCAAGGGTATGGTAAATGCTGGAAAGTAGATTTTCCAAACAGTTTTACTCCAGCCTCCTCCTTAGAAATCTGAACAATTTCCTGTTGCTCTCTCTTTGAACAGCAAAGCTGGAGTGTATCACCAGAGGTATAAATTCTCTGGTTAATTAATGAATTAGCTAATTTCACTTGGCTGTGATATCTTAGCATTTAAGTACAAAGCAGCATCATTCAGTTATAAATAGAGCCAACCAGAGTACAGCATGTATACATTTGCATAAAGGATCTTAAGAAGGTGATGAGTAGTAATTAGTACTGGAAGATGTGCGGTTCATTAAAATCAAAATTTATTGCAGGTAAGCGGTAGAATTTGGGGAAAAAAGCCAAAAGTGGATGGTGTTGAGCACTGTTAGCCATAAAGGGCACATTTTGCAACCAAGAGTCAAAATTTAAATCCAAACTCACTTTGATTCAAAGTCCTTTAGCTGTTGCTGCTTGGTTGCATGCCGTGTAGCTCCAAACTGGTTATTGTCCAGACTAGTGAAGAGCAGCTTGCCAGATAGCCCTGCCATGCAGCCCTTTCTCCAGTGAGAGGCAAGTCTCTAGACACCATTACCTGCATAGCATGCCAACATCCCAGCACAGCCGATAACACCCCAAAGTTGATGGCTATCGGTCTGTGTTCTTTGCTTCATCAATACATTACACAGAGCCTTCATAGGTCAGTCAAGCTTGCAGGTTTTTTTAGGTAGTCTAAAACTTAGGTACTCCATGTTCAGTAATGCAATGTACACATTCCCTTAGGTCTGTAATCTTAATCACCCTTCTAATATTGTGCTGTTGATGTGGGATTTAGGTTCCTTTATCACTTTTGTTCTTATCTCTGCTGCTTGAGTGAGTAAATGCTTTTGGATCGATCCAAGTCACTGTTCTTTTTCTTCACAGCCTAACACCCATCTTTATTCTGTGCATCTCTCTCAAGAGAGGATTAGATGGTAGATTTGCCTCACTTTTACACAACAGGTAAACACAGAGAATATAAAAGAGCCATTCAGCTGAAATGGCTTACTTCTCCCTTTGTGCCTTTTTCTCAGGACACAGTATTTCTAACCTACAGATCATAGCCCTTGGTAAAGGCATATGCTGAAAGTAAGGTATGGCATAAGTGAACATGAGCTTCTTGGGACTCATGCATCTGCTCATTCTCCCAGCTGCAGAGGTACACACCCATCTAATAAGCAAAACATGCATCCACGCTGCTTGCCATTTGCATCTGTAAGTTAAGAAACATAGATCACCTTGAAAAAAAAACAAATAAAATGACAAAGATACATTAGTAAATCTGTTTCATTGTGGTGGTATTGAATTCACAGCAAGGGAATCAAAATATTCAAAGCTGGAGAATCAAATTTATCAAGATAAATTGTTTCTCAATATGAAGAACTTGCTCAATGAGAGGAAAAGCACCATGGATTTCCCTTCCTCTGGGACACAGGACAGCCCTGCAAAAGGCTTTGACAGTGTTCACTAGGATGAGTTCCTTAGAAATTCTTTTGAGTATTGAACACAGCCCCTTCATGGAGGGTTGATGACACACTGCATGGTTACTAGAGTATCCTACTTCAGATACCAAAATTACACTCCTACACTGGAACAAACCCAGCTAGGAAATTAAGAGTTTCATTGTTACCAATAGATGCACATTATTGTTAAACTTTATCTGAAAATACATGATCATTTATCATTATCTTCAATAGTTCTGCAGTGTGAAGTAAGCTGAGGCAGCCAGTGATCCACACGAAGTGAAGGAGCACGATGTTCCGATGTAGTTTCCCAGAATCTGAGGTGCTCAATAACAAATTGGAGCATGAACTCATTGTCAGCTTTCTAGAAAAATCCCAACCTTTTCAGCTGACAGACTGAGAGGAAAAAAGAAACACACAGGAAAACAAGAAATGCAAATATCTCACATGGTTTCTGACTGCTTGAAGATGGTCATGTTTTTGACTGTTTGAAGATGGTGATGTTTAAATACACAGCTCATTAAGAAAAATTGTCTCATTTTGTTTGGAGCACTGCATTTTCCTCCTTCTGGTAATGTGTGCTGTTTCTATTGCAGATCCCCGCATTGCAAGATGGTCCTTTGTTCCCTTGTTTCATTTTGAGAAACAGAACAAACTCACTCATGCCCTTTGGGGAGCTATTTTTTTCACAGAGTTTTTGAGGCAAACCAGAAAGCGCAGACTTGCTCAAATTTAATTTGGAAAACTAGAAATAACTGTTCCTTCAAATATGTAGGGGAAAAATAGACTGCACCTTTCTGATATGTGAGAATATAAGGAAAGGTGGAATCTAACTAGAATGCCCTTGACCAGCTCCAGATGCAGTTAATCCAGTTTTGTAAGTGGGATTCTTGGCTAAGCTCACTAGAGACACAAGAGTGAGGCATGAAGGTGAGAGACAAACTTTTTAGTGTTCTTTAGACAGGAAAGGTATCAAAGTCAACATCCTACCTTATTAAGTGGCCAAAGATTTAACCCAACAAATAGAAACCTTGTATGACACAATCCCATTTTGTTTACTACATAGATGTTCTGTGTAGCTCCCAGAGTAACTAAGAAATCAAAGAAGCAAATAACTTCAGCTCTGATGTGCCAAATCCCTATCAATGTAAAAGCTTTAAATTCCACAACACCACAGATGTGGTCAACAGATTTAGAGCTCTTAGTAAGAGGAAATAGAACATAGATTGTAACTGGCTTTAAGGCTTTCCACGGATCCAAAGGCATGGATCCCATCATTCATCACAGTAGGAATGGTAAAGCTTTTTCTTTCAGAAAGATAAGGATTTGGGTTTGGGTTTTCTTTGCATTGTTACTACATAACAGCTTTGATATTTGCCCAGGTCTTAAGCTTCAAGGCAAGTTATCTTTAGAGATATAACCTATTATATCTCTGGAAAGACAGTGATTTAGAATTTAAAATAACTTTCCATTTTTTCTCTCTCTGTCCTTCCCTTTCCTTCCAATACAGTATTTGTCCACAAAAGTGCACTGCCCAGGGAGTCAGATTAATATCAGGCAAACATCTTAACTAGCCAACATTAGTTAATTTCAACGCATACATATCACTCCAGTCCATTAATATGACTCTATGTAGTTTTTACTGATTAAAGCACAGTCTGACCTTAAAGAGATACATTCCTTCCTATTACTAGAAACTTTGTGGTTCTGTAGGAAAGAGAATAAACATCACAGGGTTATTAAATTTCTGCCTCTAAGTACAGCTGTGAAGAATGGGGACTTAGCAACCAGAAGTAGAGGAGCACAAGATGTTCCGTCCTAACAGAACATTTTGCAAGGAAATACGAAAGCTCATCTCAACCTGCAACATCTAGGGCAACACAGCTGATCTCCACAAACAGCTCCAAACAGGAAATTGCCAGATTTAAAAACCTAATGTGTCTTACAAATATAACTCAGCCCCTCACATTCCTTGACCATGACCATTTAAATCCAATTGGATTTAAATGAGTAATCTCAGCTTTAAAAGGTTGGTTCGATATTTATGGTGGCTATTAAGGTTGAGGAGTCAAGAGATGAGAACACTAATTTCCGCAAGCACATTGCCTGACATTTGAACAAGATTGAAAATTCTATCAGTATGACACATTTTTCTTAGCAAAAAGTTCACATAATTTCTCAGACATTAATCAGCAAGTCAATCCTGAATGACAAAGAAATGACAACAACCTGGATCCTCTACACCATGTCATACAGTCTCACTTGAGTGTTCATGCAAATGGGAGTTACAGATAATACAGCAGAACACAAATCCAGGATATCCTCCTGTACAGACCTCAGATCTGATTGGGGAAACTATATGGGAATCTGATTAATGGAGAAAATAAATTCAAGGATGCAGCCAAGTGACTGGTCATAAGAAGCCACCACATAGGCACAGGAAAAGGAGTTAAATGGGTTGGGGGCCAAGAGAACCTGCTGCAACAAGCTGTATCCATGTTTTCACTAAGGCAATGTGAGGTATGGGAAAGGAAGGACTATTCTG